TTGTTGATTTTTTTTCCAAGTTATGCTGCATGCTGAGCACACTTCAACTGCTTCTTTAGTTAAAATAAGGTAAACTTGACTGTGTAAAACAGGTCAGTGGTTTAGCTTGTGTCTCCCAGACTCAGAGGTGATTTGTTCCAAGACAAGGAAAGCTCTTTCATGGCTTCAGTTCTCTGAGCAGTTAAATATGCATGTGGCCAAACCCAGTCCTCGTAAAACCCAATTGACTTCATTCAAAAAATTCCTATAAAGATGACTGATGTCATTGGAGTCCCATCAGGGATGAATTTGGCCCATGCCAGTCTTCCCGGTTAGTCATTGGATAGGAATGTAGAGAAGAAATGCATGCTGGGCTCTAGCACTACATCTCTCAATTAAATTGCCATGGCTGAAAAAGAATTACACACAAATAAATTTGTCTTGCACACTCCATTAGATCTCCCAGACCAACCACTGCTTTCAGCTTCCCAGGTACAAATTGGAATATCTCTTTTCACTACTGAGGGCTAAGCAGGAGTTTCTATGTGACTGTGCCAGGCCTCTTGGGAGCAAAAGCAGCAGCATTATCCCAAATTTACAGATGAAGAAACCAAAACAGGGAGCTGAAGTGAGTTGCTTCAGTTTATATGTGGTGACAGAGGTAGAAGAGGTATTGAAACTTAAGTACTTATGGCTCCTCACAACTTAGGCCATGTATTCCTGTGATATATCTTTTTAATTTCCCTCTCATTTCCCCATCTCCCTTCTCCACTACCCCTAACCCCATCTACATTGTCTGTAGCCACACAACTGCGAAGCTGGGATTAATCCACCCCTAGGGAAGCTGGGATTAATATACAACTCATGTGGAACCTTTAAAAACCCAATGATTTGTGGTCCCCTTTTCAGAGGTACATGTAATTCACAGCTGAAAAGTAACTATTTGCTGTTCCAGTGCACACTCGGAGAGAAGTTTTTGCTCTGTTTCATGAATATACACTGAAGACCCCATCTGACAGGATTTCTTCCTGCAGCCAACAGAAAAACCCAGCCTGAGCAAACTGTGCAGAATCAGGCTTTTGCAGAGAAGTGACAGTTTATGGGCAGAAAAAGAATTACTGGAATGCAAAGAGGGGGAAGAGAGAGAGAGAGATGTGCCAAGACATCTTTACATTTTCTCCTGTAAATGGAAATAGTTAACAAAAAAAAAAAAAAAAAAAAAAAAAAAAAAAAAGAAAAGAAAAGAAAAGAAAACTGTGTTTCCCTTGTAAATCTCAAAGAAAGAAGCAACTAGAGTCAGGTGCCCTATTTTTTTTTTTTTTTTTTACTCTTGCAAAATCCTATTCAGTGATTTTTTTATGATGAAAATGCAAAATTTAGAGCAACTGTGAAAACAGAATCAGCTCTCGACTGGCAGACAGAGGCCTAAATAAGTTTTATTCACTGCATGAATGTTAGATTAAAACACTTGCAAAGAGAGAAAAGAAGAAGAAAAAAAAGGGAGGTAATTAATGATTTAAATTATTTATGATCCTGATTCAAAAGTCACATTTCCTGTCTAATTCCTTTCATTTGTTTTAGGGGTTAGTACTACTTATCTCTTCTGACTATCATGATTTCATGTCTTTGCTTTCCTTGGAATCACTGAGCTGATACTGCCTAGCAAAATTCAAAACACTGAAGAGAATAGGTGAACTGTTCACCAGTGCATGTGAGAGCATGACCAGAGAGATAGCCTTTGTTTGCATGAGGTTGAAAAAGGCCTTCTGGGGAGAGGAAATACACACACGTATATGTGTAGTACAAATGATATTAAGAGGCCATGTGTGCATTCTGTGCTCAGTATGCCCACGTAGTTTTAATACATCTGTAATTCTGATTATGTCAGTTCTGGGGATTTTTTGTTTTAATTGCACATAAAAATACACGTCCAAGGAAATTCCTGGCAGGCAGATCACCAGGCTTCAGGCTTATAAATGAAACTCTTCTCATGCCCAGCTGGGAGGAGCAGTTTTTACACCTTCACGACCCTGCAGTTATAATAGTTCCCAGGAACCAGTAACTGACACGGATTCTTACCTCACCACGGGTGTTTTGGTATCCCGGTGTTAAGGAGATGGCGAGGCGATCATGGGAAAGCCTCAGTGGGGTGAGCCTCCCTGCATCCCTTCCTTCCTCCCTTTGAATACGACTTGGATTTCTACCGCATAGCCGCGACCCCTGAAAACTGACAGGCTCCCAGCGACAGAGCCCTTCACTTTCTCCCTCCACTACAGGACCCCTGGAGCATCCGTGTTCCTTTACTCTGTGCCACGAACGACACCAGAGGGAAAATTCATCGGGGATTTTTTTTCTCTGAATCTCCCTTTAGAAGAAATACACAGGGGGGAGGAGAGTAGGTAGGGAGGAACCACCCATCCCTTAGGCTGACAGTTAACGGAAGGGTACACCTTCCCTTAGGCTGACAGAAGGGTACACCTTCCCTTAGGCTGACAGGCAGCGGGGCCGGGTAGCGTTTTCCAAGGAGCGCCCTGCAGGCAACGACCAGCACGGGTGGGGCGGCAGCTCCCTCTGGGTTTGCGCAAGGCGACGCACCTAAACTTCAGCGGAGGACCCGGGGGGGGGAGAGGGGGGGGCAGGGGCTTCGGGAGGAGGCAAATTGCCCCCCAGTGTCGCTGCCGAGAAAACGCAGCCTGCTGCGGCTCGGCAACGAGAGGCCAGTGCAGCAAAGGGATTGCTCCTGCCCGGCTCCGCGCAAAACGGGTAGAGCTCTGTGCTCATCCCAAGGAGGGTTAGCCCGGGCTTCCTGCAGGCTTGCGCGATTTCCCTCTCGCACTCCTTCCTTGCACGGAGCGGTTGGTTTTCAGATGCTTTCTTAAGATAAAAACAAAAGCCTTCCCACGGTCTGGAAAGCGAGCGGTGGGTGGGAAGCAAAGCAAAAGCAAGCCGACTTCAAACTCTGCCCGTTCTCCCAGCCTCGGGGGCTGGATGCGCACAGAGGCGTCATCTCGTTATCCTGCGCTTCCCAAGGGCTTTCCGGCGCCGGAGGTGGCCACTGCAGCCGGTCCAGCAAGTGCGCTTAAAGTAGTTACCGTGAGCTCGAATGGGTGTCCGGTAAAAGGGAGGGGGCAGAAACCTTTCTCCCCTTATATTAAACGAGCTACAACCGCAACTTTTCCCCTGTCGTTAATAGGATTCCTTGACCAAATAAAGAAGTATTTTCTGCAAGCAAAACGGAGAATGGGGGAAAGGAACCGCTTTGGACCGAGGCGCTGGGGTAGCGCAAGAGCCACAAGGAAGGAGCTAATTTGAAGGCTTTTCTTATCGCCGGGGGGCACTGGTTTGGACAGGGGGAAGTGGATTTAAGGTTTGCCGAGGGGATGGGAAAGGACGGCAAGTGGCCCTTCAAAGGCTCAGGCGGATCCCCCAGCTCTGAGCTTTCTCCCCCCCATCTCTATCCAAAGCGGTTTCGCATTGGAATAACTACCTCTGAGCTAAGAGAGCTGCCGGGAACCAAAGGCCGCACCGATCAGCGCTGAACTGGCTGAAGATGCAGTCGAGAAATGCCCGCTCTTGACAGAAGAAGGAGGGTGAGCCAAGGAGGCTCTCCCCGCAGTGCCCTCGGGCTGGGAAAGCAGCACCAATTCGCCCATTATAAACCATTATATAGATGGTTATAAACCATCTGATTTGGTTTATAACACTTCTGACACCTAATCTTATCAGCTAATGCCCGAGGTTTAGTTACTTGAGACGATTTTTTTATTTCCACGCTAGCAGCAAAATTATTTGTGTCCTCGAAGGTCTGTTTGCTTTTGTCAGCCTCAGAAAACAGAAAGAAAAAAAAAAAAAAAAGCAAAAAAAAAAATGGAAAGAAGAAAGGACGAGGGAAAAAGAGAAAAAAAATGAGGCAGTTGGTAGAAACAACCACTGAGGAAATATCAAGTTAACTCAAAAAAAAAAAAAAAAAAAAAAAAAAAAAAAAAGCACCAAAAAACTACAACAAATAAACAAACAAACAAAAAAAAACTGGTTCTGAATATCCTGCGTATTGCCAGAGGCTTTGGTAGGGAAAAGATCAGAATTCAAACGAACGCATATGTAGCCCATGCAGACTTGCCCGTAAAATAACGATTTATTTTAATACTTAAAAAACCACACACAATCCAGTGATAAATGTCGATTACCAATAATCAGCATAAAGTGCCAAACAGCCATACAACTTTTTTTCTTTTTTTTTTTTTTTTAATAAACAAAACTGATTGGAATGTCTCTTAGTTTGAATACACTGTTCAGAAAGCCAGCATTTAAAAAAATACGCTCTCAGGTTGAGATTTGTTCTCTTTCATCAGGATGCACGAAGACTTTAAAGTACCACTAAAACCACATTGTGCATACCATCAGTTTGATGCTTTGCCATCTTTCTTTCCTCTGTTTTTGTTTTTTTAAGATAAGTCCACAACTTACAAACCTCCTCACAGAGCACAAGACCATAAGGCAAAAGAAGTCTCCATGTCCCATGAACACTAATTTATCCTGAAAACCAGCGACCACAGGTCTAAGATCAGGATGCATTTTCCAGCATGATATGACTCCTCACTTGAGAGACTTAGGACATTTCCAAATATTAATTTTCTTCTCCTTTGAAGAAAACAAACAAGCAAGTGAGATTTGCAAGTTGCCCTTCTGCTTGTCCTAATGATGGTGTGATCAGAAACCACCATTTCAGTTCTTAATCATGTTCCGGACTTCTTTGTATTTCCTGAAGTGTAAAAATAAGAAGCTTTATACAGTCAAAAAGGTATAAAATAATAGTTTGGGGGTTTTATACGTAATACTTTTGCTAGGATTCTGGGTTCTTTTGTTGGGATTGGGAGGGGGAGGTGGGGAGGGGGGAACGACACTTGTGGGGTTTGGTTTGGTTTTAAAGATATTCCTGTCCAACACGTGAGCACCACCTTTTGGCATAAAGTTTATCAAAGCCACACAAGTCAGCTAGCACTCCCTGCATTATTCATGTGTATTTTAAATGCAAAAATAATCTTTTTAGCCATGCTTGGATAGTTAGTTTAGGCAGGGAAGGTGGTGGTGCGGGTTTTGCTCTTTTGAAAGTACAAACAAAAACAAAATGCAAAGTTCAGTGCTTCCATCCTGAAAGTTTTGTTTCTGCTCTGGTTTTGGTGGAAAGTCTGAGGGAGAGGAAAAGTTCATAGAAGTTGGAGATTCAGCACTTAAGTTTGGCAGGTTTCAGTTCCTTTACTTGCGTGTGCAGTGTCTTGTGGACAGCTAGTGTTCTGGACTGGCAAAATCCTTTCCCGCATTCTTGACACTTAAAAGGCTTTTCTTTAGAATGGATATATCTAGGGAGAGAACAAAAATGAGATGTCAGAAATAACTATACTAAACTCAGCAGTGAGCTACCTGACAGAGAACATGCTGGAGATCTTTACACCTTCTGCTGAGATTGAGAGTGCTGATGTGCAGCACTTGGGTGAATCATCCATCCGTGTGTGGGCAAGAAGAGAGGGGGATATCAGGCCTTACAAGGGTGTCTTTCTTAGGGCTGAAGAGCTTCTCTCTAACTTTGGGATCATCACACTTCAAGTCTTCATAACACATCTGAACAATCATAAAGGCAGAGGACACAAGGCCATGCAAAGGGAGGGTGAAACATCTGCGGAAGCTAAGAAGGAGGATGTGGGGTGCGTGAGTACAAGAGGCCTAACTTCCAAAGTGAGTTATCTGGGCTCCTCCACCAGCAGTGGGCAGAGGAAAACTGAGAGGGAATGCTGCTGCTGGTCAGGAACATGGCTTTTCTTATAGGCACCTTCATGAGCGTAGGTAGGTAACTGGGAGAGTATGGCTAGACAAGAAAAAAAGGACAGAATAAGAATTGTTACCTGTGATCCCTCAGGTGATCCTGTCTTCTGAAGGCCTTGTGGCAAATGTCACATGTGTAAGGTCGTTCATCAGTGTGGGTTCTTTCATGGATCAAAAGGTTGTAGGACTTGGTGAAGTGCCTGCCACAGAATTTACACACAAACTCCTTCTTGGTTTTAGATGGTAACCTTCCCCGTGTGGGTTTCTTCTCTGGAGAGAGTTTAGTCACCTCAAGTAAGGACCCCAACCCTGGGGGCGAGCCCTGAGTGTCTGACTGTCCCAGTTTAGAGTGGTCCTCTTGTGTGGCAGCCACTGCTAAGTTGGCAAAGTCAAAGCGGGGTTTAGCTTTGAGGGTCACATTGGTGGCCTCTTGTTTGGGCTGGATGACATGTGGAAAGAGCGGGAAGGTTGGCAGCTGGAACCGTGCATCCACCAGGCTTGACACGCTGGGCACCTTGGAGAAGGAGGAGCGGGGTAGATGCATGGCCGGGTACCCCAAAGTCCATTGGTGTAAGTGTACGGCGTGCAGGGCACTGAAGCCATAGAGGTTGGAGAGGTGGTCAGAGGGCACAGTGGGCAGCCCGTTGAATGCTTGCAGGAAAGAGTAGTTGGTGAGCTGGAGGGAAGGATGGATAGGCACTGGGGCCGGCAAGGTCTTACTTCCCATAGTAGCCACTCAGGAGGAGGATCTTGGGAGCAGGGGAGGAAAAGTTCTGGAAAAAAAAAAAAAAAGATGGAGTTGGGAAGAGGTGGATTTATAAAAAGATAAAAGTAGAGGGAATTTTTTACCTCACCCCTCATTAACACCCTTCTCCAAAGTCACAGGAGGTCACTGCCTTGGAGTTGGAGAGGTCTGAAAAGCTCTTGGCTGTGAGTGTATCTCCATAGGTCTCCAGACTCTCACCATTCCTCACACACAAAAGTTGTACCCCAACTGCAATTATTCATCCCCAACAACATCTCTGTGCTGTGTAAACCTGTAATAATGCACTACATAGAGACAGCAAAAAGGTGCCATTTTGGCCCACAAATTTCAAGCTTCTCCCATGTAATTTTAAATCCCTTCTTGAGCACCCTCAGCCTTTAGAAAATAGTTGGATGCTGCCCACAAAATCTGCTTTTAACCCTGACCCTTGAGCTCTCTGCCCCTGGGTCACTCAGGTCACTGTGGTCTAGCCTCAGCCAAGCCTCTGCTTGGTGGTGGTGGCAGTTTGGTCCCAAAACTGCAAGTCCTCCCTCATTCAAAAAGGGAAAATTCCTGGATTTCTTTTTTTTTAGGGGGAAATACCAGACAACAACCCTCCCTCTTATGTACTGTGAAAAGAAATGGGAAAAAAGCTGAGTTTGGGTGACAAATCTGAAGTGCCATTTGCTCTCCCAAGGGGGAAGTGTCTGGCTTCAAGCCCACATCCTAATCTAGGCAATCACTTAATTAGAACCCTTCAAAAAGAAAACAGGCGAGGGCTGGAGGGATCCTTCCCGTGGGGACACTCAACTCACCAGCTGCAGGGCTGCAGCCCTACCCCTGGGCTGGGTGCCACCACTTTGCTCTGTGTTTCAGGGTCCTGCCAAGCCCCCAGCCTCTCCTGTCAGCCAGCTCCCTACCCATTTCACCCCACAAGAGAAAAATGTTGCAAGGCCACAGCAGCGAGGCACATCTGGCCCTGCTTGCAAATTCAGTCCTGCCTGCTGTCATCCACTTGCCAAGAGATGCCTCCCAAGAGTTGGTGGTTGGGATACAGCTTCCTCTCTTTGTGGGTGTGAGAGAGCACCCACAGCTTTTGGAGGCGTCACATCCCTGCAGCTGAGGGACCCTCCTCCTTACTCCATAGCCTACAGCTTATACTTGTTTCCCCTGAGTGAACTTCAGGATTTGCACTTCGTGAGTCTGTTTTCCAGCAGGATCCCCACAGGGTCCCCTTAGAGACCCCACAGTTGCTCATAAGATCCTCACAGGTTTGTTGCAGTGTTCCCACAGATTCACATAGGGTCCACTACAGGTTTCCTGCAGAGTCACTGTAGGATCCCCACAGGGTCCCAGCAGGATCCTAGTAGCATTCAGCCTGGAGGTCGTCCCCACATGAAGAGTAAAGCCCCTTTGGAGAAAAGGAGGCAGCAAAGTGCTGCAGAGCAGTAATCACCCCTCTGGGATGGAAGACTGGGTGGGTGGAAACCAGTGGTGGAATAAGTCTAAAGACCAGGGAAACAAATCTGATTTATATGTGAGCTGCTGTCCAGACTGAGGAGCTGCGGCTGGGAGGGTGTGAGAGGGAGAAGCTTGTTCTGTGCAGTTCTATATGCAGGGCCCACCTTTCACACCACTTTACATAAATCAACAGCTGGAAGATAGACTCAAACCTTAGAGGAATTCCTGCGCAGTGACCCAGAATAAGAGATTGTGACATTTTGTCTTTTTAATTAGATACATTTTGGGTAGTGGCTGATTAAAAAATGTGGACTTTACGTTCTCCCTCTCATTTTTTTTTAAATTTGCTTTCCCTTCCATTCCTCTATTTATTAAAAAAAAAAAAAAAAGAAAAAGAAAAAAAAAAACCCAAACAAAAAAAAAAAAAACCACAGCAGAACAAAACAATAAAACCCCACAAAAAACTATTTAGGGCCGATGAACCAACCATATTGTTCTGTTGTCCAACTGGGGAAATGCTTTTTATTTTGTCAGTGCTGCCCATATGCTTGGCGTGTCCACTTCGCAGTACAAATGCTCAGTCAATGACCACGAGAACCAAGTGTATGGAAAACACTCTGTTCTTATACCTGAAATGTATTTTCTGCCTGTCACAACGGCTCTGTGCTTATTTTCCTGCCGAGGCAGCTATAGATTTGTCAAGCATGAAACATGCTATTGCAAACTGAGTTAATTTCTACCTGTATCCTTCTTTCTTTCTCCATATACTAAGGAAACATTTAATATGAAATATATAAACAAAAAATTACTATATCTGTTTGGGTAAATGATTGCTCAATAACATTTAAAAAAATTCTCTTTTGATTTCCCAAATTTAGAAAGGGACAGAAAGGAGAAATACAGTAATGTCATAACAGCATCAGCAGTGCCCGCGTTTGATTGTTGTTGTTTTTTTTATCCCCAGAGAAGTTTTAACACTTAAAAAAAAAGAAAAGACAAGGGAAAAAAAAAAAGGGAAGGAAAAAAACAACCCCCCCCAAAAAAAAAAAAAAAAAACCCAACCCAAACCCCGACAAAATCAAGAAGAAAAGGGGAGGTGGGAGCAGAGTGTTCATGTTAGTACAAGTTTCTTGGCACTTTTCCAGAAATGTAAGTTACACTTTTGCTCTGTGCGACGGGGTTAGTAAAAAATACAGTTGAAGAGCAGAGTATTTCATACAGAAGTGCCCTCTCTCCAGGACATCAAAGCGAGCGGTCGCACAGCGCGGGAATCCTCCGCTCTCCCGCTGCCCGCACCCGCAGAGATCAACGTTTCTTTGATTTCGGTGTCACCTCCACCTTTAATTCTGTTTCATGTAAATAGATAGTTATCGGAGCTTTTTTTTTTTTTTTTTTTTTTACACAGAAGAAGACCCCTCGGCTTCTCTGCTTGAATTCCCCCAACAATAAAACTGTGCGGGATTTTCCTTTTTTTCTTAACACAAAGTAGCTCAGTGAGTAATTAAGAGCAAACCACTTGTGTTCTGACTGAAACAAATCCCACTCATGCCAAGATAAATTTACCCTGCAAAATAGGATCATAAACTTGAAAGACTACATCTGTCTCCAGCTTTCTTACCCTTTGTCCTGTTTGAAGATATGGTAATGCTATTGTCCAGTTGCCATTGTTTTAAGACCATTGTAAATTTAACCTTCCAGATTAAACTCTACCTCCTTTGTGCGCCATAAAGAAAAAAAAAAAAAAAAAGTAGAAAAAAGAAAAATCCACCAGGCTTTTTGCTGGTAGCGTAGCAAGGGGCGAAATTAAATGGATTTTTAAGTCACCTTGTGGCTACTCTGTTTTTCCTTTCTACCTTGAATTATCAATTTCCGATCTGTCCTTTGAAAGGGATATTTGTTACATTAAATACCTGACTCATAAATAATGAGGTTTGCTAATTAGTTCCACATGGAAGAATGGAGGAGGTAAATTACCCTGAGAACGTTGCTTATTTTTACAAACATGATAAAGTAGCGGGCATAAAATGCTGCATTCTTTCGACAGCCTCAAACTACAGCAATCAGGTTCATCTGTCAAAAAAATGTTCCTCTCTTTTGCCTTTAAAGTCTAATGGAAGCCCTTTCCTTTCGGCCGCATCACACCAGTGTGCAGCATTTTGCCACCCACCTATTTTGTCCCCTTTGAGGGAATAAGATGTTCCCTTCCTGTTAGTTTAAGCTAGGAAACAGAGCTTAGAATTTATCTGTGTTTAGGAAACTAACTAGAAAGGGAATAAAATTGCCCTTTTGCTCTCCATTGTTCGAGCGTGGTGCTCTTCAAGTGCGTTGCTCAGCATAGATTTATTAAAAGTATTAATGAAGTGTGCAGAATCTATTAAAGCAGGTTTATTCGGGGCTAATTGAGAGTGAAAGAGTTAATTGCTAACATTAATGAGGACTGGAAAGACTCAGTCAGCATGTGCCTTGGATATCTCCGCTCAATCCTTATAAAATCATCATTCACATTTTATCGCGAAATCACTGTTGACAAGTTTTCCAGACCACCACTGCGAAAGCGGGTGAATACGCAGGATTTTAGTCTCTAATAATAATAATAATAACAATAATAGCCGGGGGTCGACTGCACCGGCAATGGCTACGGTTCCCGGGGCAGCCTTTATCCGAAACAACCACCACCACATCTCGGGTCCCAAGCCTAGGGGGACAGTGACCCCACGGGCGGGGTGTGGTCGCAGGGCCATGCGCCTCAACCCTCTCCCTACAGAAGGGTTTAAGTTGATTTGGGAGCTCTCTGCGAGTGGTTTTTGTTTTTATTCCCTTGGGTGTAAAAAGGCGCCCGGCACAAGATTCGGTCTCGCTTTCTCCTTAGAGAGACGCCCGGTGCCTCCCCTGCGCACGAATAAATAGTGCTTCCTCTCTCCCGGCAGCAGCAAGAGTTTCTTCCCTCAATACTCCTCTCTTCCCAAGGCCTCAGGAGGAGTAGCCGCTGGTGGGGGGGGGGGGGGGGAGAGCAAGACACTCTGGGTGACAGGGCCCTAGGCCATGCCCAGGCCGGGCCGAGCCGAGCGAGGGCCCGCCGCCCCTGAGCTGCGCCCCGCGGAACGGGAGCAGCCGGGCCCTTTGCGGGGCTGCCCCTTGTGTCGATTGACTTCGGACTTGCTGAACTGGACCTCCAGTGCACCTGCCTGGGACACACCACTCACCCTCCTGCCCTGCCCGCGTGTGACCGGACGAGTCCCGCAGCGCCACGGTCAACTCCGAAACGCTCTATTTTTATATTTCCCTCCCAAAAGCCAACTATAACAACTATACCCTAATCCTCGGCTTTGCACTGACACTTTATAGGCTCGGCCTCGAGAGAAGCTCAGACTTGCCCTACACTGAACTTGTTTCGATCCATTCAGACAAATACAAACATCAGGTTCTCTTCTATTAGGAGGAAGCAGAGAAGGCTTCTAGAACCTTAAAACATTAAAAATGTAGAGGACAGAGAAAGAAGAGAGAGAGAAAGAAGAGAGAGAGAAAGAAGAGAGAGAGAAAGAAGAGAGAGAGAGAGAAAGAAGAGAGAGAGAGAGAAAGAAGAGAGAGAGAAAGAAGAGAGAGAGAAAGAAGAGAGAGAGAAAGAAGAGAGAGAGAAAGAAGAGAGAGAGAAAGAAGAGAGAGAGAAAGAAGAGAGAGAGAAAGAAGAGAGAGAGAAAGAAGAGAGAAGAGGAAATGAAAGAAAATAAAAGTAAAAAATAGAGAGGAGAGAAGCTGAAGTTTCAAAGGACATTCAGACTTCTGTTTTGCAGCTCGTATGTGTAATTTTTAGCTATGGTTAAAAACACAGCTCCCCCTCAAGGGGGGATAAACGCTTTGAAATGGGAAGACAAATCTTTAAATAGCATCAAAATTGCCGAGACCCGTGTGAGGGCTTCCCACAGCCCTCTGCCCGCTCCACGGAGAACAGTCCTCCTCACGTGAACCACAACTTCCCACTTTTGCACCATCAAGGGGATGGTGGAAGAAGACAGGGGAAAAGAAAGAAAGGAGGAAAAGAAATGGAGGTGTCTGCATCGATATCCCCAACCCCGAGGCTTGGCAAACAAACAAACAAAAAAGAAAACAAAAAGAATTAGTTGTTCTTTTTATTTACCTAATCCCGATCTGTGCTCCACCGCTGGCAGCAGTTAAAAGATCCTGGGCTAAATCTGAGCTGGTAAAATAAAATAATAGGGGGGTGGAAAAAAAAAAAAAAAAAAAAAAACAGAAAAAAAAGAAAAGAGGTTGGTGTCAGTGTCTGTGCTGGCCCGGGGGGCACAACGCTGTCCCCCCACTCCACTGCTCCTCCGACTGAACCGGCAGACCAGAGCGAGCAGCGGGGCCAGGTGCCCCGGCTGATGGACACGGAACTGCACTACCTCCTCCTGCTACCGGCGCCGTCTGTGTTAGCTGGAGTGCAAACGCGCCCGCCAGCAGCCGAGCTCAGACTGAACCGATCCCTTCCCTCCAGCCTCCTCCTTATTTCACCACCCCCCCCCTCAGCTCCCCCCTCAACCTCCCACCAGACTCCGGGCATGCGCACCCGGGGAGAAAGTTTTCTGGTTGGAAAGAACCAACTTTTCAACCCGTTTCTCCCGAAGGCGCGGCAGCTCGGGGATCGCCTCCCGCAAGTGCCCGATCTCGCCCACCCCTCCCGGGCTCTCCGCGCCCTCGGCCTCCCTCGGGGCATCTCCCCGTGGCCCGCTACGCGCGGACCCCCGCGGCGGAGCCGCACAGGGGAAGGAAGGGGAGTGGGGGCTCCCGTGCTTTCTGCAGTGTCCTAGCCGCGCTGCCTGCGCTGGCCCGGTCCGCCACTCCACACCGTTCCGTGCCGCTCCCCTCCGCTCCCGGCTTGCCTCGCTGCGCCCCCTCCCCGCAGATTCGCGGGACAGAGCTCTCCGGGACCTGCCCGGGGAGGGAAGGCAGGAGGGTAGAAAGGCAGAAAGAAAGGGGGAAAAAAAAGTGGGGGGGAGGCTGGGGGAGTGATCTGCTCCAGCCATGGGGATTTGGATACTGCACGTTGTTCTCCCTCTCTGAAAAGATCCCCCGAGAGGATTCCAAGAGCCGGTTAACTGCAAAGAGTCCACCCCAGGGGTAAAGCCGCTTCCTTCCCCTGCCCCAGCATCCCTATCGGTTCCCACTTTCCACCCCAGCTCCCCTGACCTCTGTGCCTTCCTCCTGTCCATCCTGCTCCCGGGCTCTGGTGTGACCCTCCCCGGACCCAGGAGGGGATCTACGGCATGCAAAATCCCGCTGATCCCCTGCGGATTGGGAGCCGCGGATCCCTCCTTAGACCGGGGGAGGCAGACTACCAGGGCGAAGCAGGCAAAGCAAAATAACCCTCGAGAGAAAAAGGTTAAACGTGCTTTATAATTAATCCTGAGGCCATAATCTCCTTGCTTATTTGTTTTTCTATTCATCCATCCATTCACACTCCTTTAGATCCGTGAAGGGGGGAAAATTGCTTGGGTGTATTACATTGTTCTGAGGAACCAGGGTAATATAATACGCTAGCGAAGACAGATCCGTCAGGATAACATGGTACCGTGCTCAGGGACAAGCATGTGTTTTTTTACTGTTCATGTCACTCCCGTTTGTTACACTGATTTTTGCCCATCTCCGAGGGAAAAACAAACAAATAATAATAAAAACCATGACCAAAACAGCAACGAGGGAAAGCTACGTTATCATCCTGCAGAATGAGCGCTCACACGACAGTGGCGTGGTGAAGCAAGCCCTTAGCACTGCCATTTCATCCCCAAAACATCTCTATTTTTGAGGAATCCGGGGTCCAGTTCCACTCACTGCTCTGGGCAGAGGAAGAGGTTTTCGTTCCCTCGTTTTGTAAACGAGTGGCATTTTTATGAGGAAAAAGGCGAAGCAAAAACTCTCCCTCAATCCGGCTTCTCCTGTTGTCTCTCATTCCGTGCTGTTATTTTCTTTCTTTCTTTCTTTCTTTCTTTAATACTGTTCTCTCTCTTCCTTCCCCCCCCCCCCCCCCCCAGCCCCTTCTCTCTTCCTCCTCCTCCCGCGCCCCCAAATAAATTCCAAACCTTTGCACTGGTCTGGGGGTCGAATTGCCGAGAGTGCGATCCTGTGCCTGATGCTGTAAGTTGATGCCTTCGAATAAGTTTGCATTTTCCGAAATAGTTTTCGAGTCCTGTTGTCAGAATACAAATGGAAGATCCTCAAATGTCCCCAGACCAAGAAACAGACCGCAGATACGCTCTTCTAGCTGAAGATTTCTCTTTTCCCAGAGGAAGAATCTTGATACAGCTGGGGGTGGGTGCGTGCATTACTGAAACAAAAGTCGCAATTCCCCTTAGAGAAGTAGCAGATTAGTTGAGATGGCAAACACGGCATCAGCAATGATTACCTGAGCGTGCTGCCTTCAAAGGAACAAAATATATAACAATTAAAAAAATGTGCTTCCAGTTACAGAAACTATCATTCCGAAAGAAATACGCATCGAAATAAAGGGCAGTAAAAGATCCCAGTGTCTAAAGAGGAGGGGGGGAACAGAAAATTATTCCCACTCGAAAATAGTTTATAATCAAAGCGGGACGTTGGGATATTTTTCTAGCCCAGAGTATTACTGGAAATGTAGTTGAAAGCTGCCTGGATAACGTATATGATATTTAGGTATTTGTTAAAAAATAAAAATGCTTGGACTTGTCCACCCACTGGCGATTGAACTGAAGTTTCAGGTTAGCTGTCTTGTTAAGTGCATTTGTTTTAAGTATCTGGTGTTTAAGTTATGACGGATATGCCGTTCCAAAGCCTTTATTCTCGGGTGGATTTTTATGATGTCCCTTGCTAATTTGCATTATGTCAACTTGTAACGGTGGGGAACTTAATACCGGGAACGGGATACAAAACCACGATTAGCACTGAGACGCAGGGAATAGGCTGCGCTTTTCCACAGCGAAGATCTGCTGTCGATTAGGAATGTTACAACTTCAAGAGACACATAAAAAGTGAAGGCATCTGCTCCCCAAGCCAGCCACGTTTGTAGGATTTAGACGTGACAGCGAAACTCAGTTCGTTTCAGGAGAAATCTGTGGGGTGTTGGGGGAGACCGAAGTGCTTGTCCCTACGTTCCACCTGTGTCCCCTGCTCCAAACCTTCCCGGCCACATCCTGCTCCATGTATCTGGAGGGTGAAGTCCCCCCCCCCCCCCCCCGGGGGCTGTTCCACCCGTTTTGTGGGGAGCAGCACTCAGAACGGCACCATCCGGCCACTACACCGGGGCTGCCTCCCTGCTCAGCGTCCCCAGCGCCGGGGCCGGCACAGAGAGCTGCCTCCTGACCACGCCGGTGCGTGTTCCGTTGGGGCGGCTTCTTGCCCCCGACGGCGGAGCAGACTTAAGGGCCACGGGAATCGAACCTGGGGACAAGTTCCCTTCTCTCTCTCCGTGAGCCAGTTGCGCTTGTCATCTCGTCTCCAACGAATTCTGCGTTCGAGGGCTAATCCTGCGCAGTGCAGGTACTGGGGGTAGCTCCTCTGTTTTAAGCTCCTGTGGATGCCGAGCATCCCTGGATGCACTTACAAGTGCGCTGGGAGAGGGCTGCACAACCTGACTGATCCTCTTTTCTCCCTCAGCTGGGATACCCAGCTTCACCTCCGGGACCCAGTCAATTTAGGCGAGAATAACGATTCCCGGCCCATCCCGTAGCCATGTGCAGGGTAAAACTCCCTTTTGCTTCCCTGGGACATTCTCCCTACCGGGGAACGGTGCTTGTCCCTCGAAAAATCTTTTTTTGAGGGGAAACAGCAATGCCACTTGCGAAGCATCAGCCGCAGGCGACTCGCAAGGGCTGCGAGGAGAAGCGGGTCCTTCTGGGCAGGGTGGGGATGTTTGGCTGCTCCAAGTACAGCAAACATCTCGCCCCCCGCAACTCGGCGGTGGGTGGGGGGTAGCTGGTCAAAGCTGCCTCTGATCGGCAGCCTTGCTGTTCACAAACCTCCCGGGGAAAGGGAGCGGAGAACTGGGCAGTGCAGCCGGCTGTGCTCTGCGGCGTTTCCAAAGCCTCTCCACGCCCGGAACTTCGCTGGGGGGATGGAGCCAGCGCCGGCGGCGGGCGCGCAGCAAAGAGCGAGCACAAGTGCATTGCGGAGTGCTCCCCTTGTCCTCATGCCTCCCCGGGCAAGATGTCGCCCCCGAGACAGGCCCCCTGCTTAGTAGTGGCATCTGGGGGCTACAGATAGATATTTATTTTTTTTTTCCTGCTTTCCTTCGCTTTGCCTTTTTTTTTAACTCTTCCTGCTATTTTGGTGTTGACCGCGGTGAAGGATTAGTGTGTGGGTCCTGACAGCTCCCCTCCCTCGGATAAACCGGACTCAGACAGAAACGGGGTAGCCACGAAGGGAAACGAGCCCATCGGGGTGAGCCCGAAGAGTACTAGAGCGCGCACGGGAAGCGCGGTGTCCGCGGAGAGGAGCGCAGGCGGCAGCGCGGGAGCTCCGCACCCCTTTTCCGAAACCGGTTCTCCTCTTCCTCCCCCCGTCCCAGGTACCTAGGTCACTCCTCAGGTCCCATATAGCCTTATTATTTTAATGAGCTGCTAATAACAAGACGCGGAAGAATAGCGGCAAAACAACGCGGAAACTGCTCCCGCGGTGCGAGTAAACGCTGTTCTGATGGTAGCTCCCACCCCCGACCGCCAAAGGAAAACCGGCACTGGGAGGGTTATAACGCTGTTACGCCAACTTTTGCATTATTTTTAAACTTCTGCTTCTAAGGCTTTCTGAAGATAAAATCCAAACTTTGGAGCATCTCCATTTTGTTAGGGAGGGGGAAATCCTTTGGTTGATTTTTACTGCGGTGCTGAGACTTGGCTTAGCGCCTTACTTACATCTCTGCCTCTCGCTACGAGCTGCTGCAGAGGGGGAGAGATCCGCCGGCGCGTAAACTCAGCGTCGCCACGCCGTGGGCTGGTCACCCAACAGGGACAGACCTCTGCCAGCAACTGCTGCGGGCTCTGCAAGGAGATCCAGGGCACGGACTAGAGCGATAGGGGATTTGTCTTCAAGAATCACAATGGATTTTGCAAGCGACTAATTAAACGCGAGATTCCCTCCCTCCCTTCCTACACACACACACACACACACACACACACACCCTTGTTTGCAAAGCGGTGTGAAGTCGGTTGTGCAAATGATTCCACTTCAGCTTCCAGTCCCTTTAGATCACTAATAATGCCGTTGTGGTGCTGCTCACACTGATGCAGAGAGAGTCAGCATTTCCATTATAACTTCCTATTTTCAGGAGTTTTTACAGTGATCATAAAAATTCAGTCCAGGCTCAAACTTGGCATCCCAGGGCTCCTCCCAGGAGTAATTTCTTTTTGTTGTACTTGAAAGCGGAAACCATTTATCTGTTTTTACATTACAAGGGAGCAACAAAACGAAGTGAAAGCAGGGCTTGGAGAAGGTTTTTGTACTTTATGTTGCTTGCTTTTCCTCAACTT